TGGACATTCTCTTCTGGAAGCAATAGAGACATTTGCTTATGATGTTGCTGCTGGACATGTCTGTGTCCTTTGTGGGGAAAGCAAAAGGAACTGGAAGAAAGCTCTTTGGGGACTCCATTGTTCTATGAAGACATTTGAATTGTGGCATTTTACTGCTCAACTGGACTGGCTCCTTCAGCAACAAGCATAATCGACTTCAATTTAATCCTTTTAGAGACTCCAAAGAACATCTGTTTTTATTGACTGTAGACGAAATAACAACTTTCTTAGTTCTCAGCTTGACCAATATAGATATTGTCTTGGACTCTATCCATTATTCTAATATGACTCTATCCATTATTTTAATAATTTTATGTTTCTTCTCTTAGAATTTGTTAATTTGAAGATTTGGAGAGAAATAAATTTATCATCTTCTGTTTACTGTGTGACTTTATTGAGAACCTGAGAGAAGTGGAAGCTGCACTTAGGCATTGTGAAGACTACCCATTCTACCTGACTTCTATAGATGACTCAGTCAGCTTACATACTTTTTTTTTGGCAGTACTGGAGATTGAACTCAGGGCTTTGCACATACTAGGCTAATGTTCCACCATGGAGCTACATCCCCAGCCCTTTTGAAAAAAATTTTTATTTTGAGAGAGGGTCTCTCTAAGTTGTGCATGCTGACCTTGAAGTGCCTTAGCCTCCCCAGTAACTAGGATCACAGGTGTGTGCCACCACACCCCAACAAATATATATATATATAAATGATGGGAGGGAAAGGGAGTGAGAAGGGAAATCGCATGGAAATGGAAGGCGATCCTCAGGGTTATACAAAATGATATATAAGAGGAAAGGAGGGGTAAGACAAGATAATACAAATGGAAGAAATGATTTACAGTAGAAGGGGTAGAGAGAGAAAAGGGGAGGGAAGGGGAGGGGAGGGGGGATAGTAGAGAATAGAACTGACAGCAGAATACATCAGACACTAGAAATGCAACTTATTTTTAAAATGGACATGCTTCTTTCTCTTCCTGTCTTCCTGCTCCTCCCTAATCTCTCCCCTTACCTAATTTCAGGGGAAACAGGATTACCTTTCTCACCTAATTAGGCAGATTTATCTGTCCTAGAGTACAAACCCACCACAGGAACAAGGTAATCCAGACTTTAAGGATTGTACCTGAAGATCTCAGAAATGACTATCTACCAAATTAACAAGTGAATTACAACTCCAACAGAGAACGCATGGCTTATAGCCTTTGAATCACCTCTTTAAAGACCCCCCTGTTCCTGCTGATGGGCAGAACCACAGGCTTTGGGACAGGAGTCTCCTGTGTTTTTCCTTTGCTAGCAAATCAATAAACCTTCTTTTTTCCTTTTTGTCAAAACTGTATCCTCATTATTGGACTGGCATTGGGGACAAGGACTGCGCTTTCCATAAAAGCATTTGTTTACATAAACAGGCAGATTTTTTTTTCTTGGTGGTGCTGGTTTGGAATCCAGTATCACACAGTATGTTAGATAAGCATTTTACCACTAAGTTATACCAATGGATCCAGAAAGAAAATTTTAATGGAATTGAGCAATCAGAAAAAAGTTAACAAGCTTTAGTTATTACAATAGTTACTTGAAGAAATTGGCAAATAAGGCGAACTTTTGGGTCTAAATGTACAGAACTCTAAGAAATTACCTGGGATATTTAATTCCACAGATTTCTTCATTTTGATTATTTTTTTAAAAAGTCTAGAGTTTGATAAAAAATACTTTTAAATTCCAATCCATCAGTTTTGGGACTGATACACAAATGTTTAGCCAGTCAATTTGTAAGGACTGAACCACCTTGTATTCAATCTGAATAAAAACTAAATGCTACCACTTAGAAACAAATTCACACCTCCATCTACCACGAGTACTGACTTAGGAATATATAAAGGGGGCATTTTAAGGTTTTTGAATGATGAGTTAAATATCTTTCAAATGTCCACATGTTTCTGCTTTAGAGATGTTAAACTTCATGTTATTATATGTTGAACTGAAATGCTTTGTCATATTACTGTCATACAGAATTACTGAAAAATACAAACAAAGCTAAGCTATGTAAGCCTAACACTATAATTGTTAGGTCGGTGGCAGTGACTTGGTGGTGACTTAGTGGCAACTTGGAACAAAGCAGCCCTCACGGAAAAGAACATCAATCAGATGCCAGCTGAAACGCCTGTCAATCAGCAGGACCCCCTGGCCAATCCTGGAGTTCAGCCAATTCCCCTGACCAACTCCAAGGGGGCAAGGGACCCTAGAGACACCTTTTCCTGTCCCAAGCCCTTCCCTTCCTGCTGTAAGCCCCATAAAAGTCTAGTCCGGTGGAGCTTCCAGCAGTTTCTCCTCAGACCCTTCCTCTGTCCCCTCTGTGGGTCTGATCGATCTCCACCTGGGAGTGATATCTCAATAAAGCCTGTTCAGCGGCCCTTTTAAATCTGCCTCCTTTGGTTGCTGCCTGCCCAGCCTGATCTGACAATAATAACAATGAAGAACAAATGCTTATCAGAAAGAAACAGTAAAATCTCCAAGTAAGAGTAGAGTTGTTCCTGATTTAGCACTATAAGAAAATACTAATATTTGAACATTCAAAGTACTCCTAAAGGACTGGGGATGTAGCTCAGAGGTAGAGCACTGGTCTAGCAGGTTCAATCCTGGTCACTACAAATACAAAAGAAAGAGCACTTCTAATTCAGGGTTTGACCTACTACTCCATTTAGAAAACTATAGTTATCTCTTTGTTTTGATACTGCCATTGCCAAGGTAATGGATCCTATATTTAATGCTGAGTTTGAAATCTATGATGAAGAAAGCAACTTATAAGGTATCCACAGAGACATCTAAAAACAAACTAAATGATTGCCCTGTTCAAAGAAAAAAGATTAACAATAAAGAAAATAATAATGGTAACTTAAGCAACTGAATGCCTATATATTAAGTCACCTAGGAACTGGCAATTGCTTATCATTAGTCTATAATAGATTAAGGATAATATATAATAATAATATATAATGATAGCTTATCATAGTCTTCTAAATCTTCACATATGTTTGTCTGTTTTTTGGTACCAGGGACTGAACCCAGGGGCACTTAACCATGGAACTACATCCCCAACCCTGCCCCACTTTTTCTGAAGATTTTGAGACAGGGTCTCACTTAGTTGCTTAGGGCCTTGCTAAGTTGCTAAGGCTGGCTTTGCACTTGAGATCCTCCTGCTTCAGCCTCCTGAGCTGCTGGGATTACAGGCATGCGCCACCGCACCCAACCCACACAAGTATTTTTAAGAAGGATAAATGTCTTAAAGATCTTGAATAATCATTTCACAGAGGAACTAAAATTAGAAAGACTACTTTGATTGTTAATCCTCTTATTTTAAGAATACTGATATCAATAGGGAAAAGGTTCAAACACAACAAAGTACTTTTAACCATCTTACCTATTTATACTTCTAATGTACAAATTAGAAATACATGAAATATGTAAATGGGTAATATAAAGTTTGTAAAACATGAAATATGCAAAACATAGTACCTGAAATTGAACTCTTGGACACTGAATCAGAGATAAGTTAGTACCAATTTTCCTTACGATACTTCGAGATGAACCATATGGTTTTCCAGACCAAAGTACCTGTAGAAGTAGGAAAAACCAAAAGTTTAATTATAAGATTTTTACAACTGTTAATCTGGAGTTGTAAATGCATGACATGCTAACACATTACTTACGGCATCAGAAAGCTCTAAGTGTTATGGGAAATAAGCTCATACTTCTCAATTCAAAATAAATAAAATATATAAATATATATTTGTGCATAGATATATGTGTGTGTGTGTGTATATATATATCTTGCTATTATTAAAGGCAATAAAGTTTAATGCAAGGCATTATATAAAAATACAGACTACTAACTTTTAAATAATACTATATTTGAATTAAAGACTCAATTTTCTGCAAAAGAAACACTATTTTACCTCTTCTGCTATATTTTTATTTTTAGAATTTTAGTAAATAAATTTTAAAAAATATATGAGAGTTACTTTTCTTGTGATGAACTCTTCAAAACAAATCCAAATTAGTACAAAGCTTAGAATGTCAATGGATGCCATGCATGTTACTTGCTGCCAAGAGTAGTCACAATACTCCCTAAGCATGTCCTTGTCTTTAATTTGCACAAAGGTGCTAAATGAGCTAGTGGTACCCATAATGAGCAGAATTTCTCTGAAGGAAAAAAAAAAAAGTGTACCTAGGACATTATGCTATGCTTAAAGCAAAACCAAAAACAAACCCCTAAAGCAAAAAGCAAACAAATAACACACAGACAGTATATTAAATCATTACAAATTGTACCTTGAAAACTTCTCCCCCAGTATATGATCTTTCCTTAAAGAGAAAAACTATCCGTTTTGAGTGCTACACCTGAAAGCCTGGATAGAAGAGGTAAAGAAAGGTAGTATGCTATTAAAAGCAATCATAAAAGAAAAGAATGGGAATAACATGACTATTATATTATACTTATTTCTCAAACCTTAACAATTGTACTCTAAAGACTGAATAAATAATACCAGAACAATTAGATATAAAGGGGATAATGAACATCATCCCCCTTTTAAGATCATTCCATGACTATAGTAGGTTAAAGAATGGAATTACTCCAATATAAACAGTATGACCACGCAACGGATCATGGAAAACTCTGATGGCTAAAACACCCAACCCAAACTGTACCTCAGCCCATTATAAAAGCATCATGAACAACTTACCAAATATGCACAGAGGCAATCTGATTTCTTAAATTTTAGCAGCCAAATCCAATTTAATATGAGTCAAAGTGAGAGTCTTGAGGGTACATATAATACTCCTGGCATTTGCCTTAGCTATTATATATTTTTTATCTTATATATTCAAGGTTTCATGAACTTACCCAGGAGAGTTCCAGAAAACACTAGAATCTACTGGCTATGATAACCAACAAAAACTGTGATTCTTTCTTTGGAAGTATAAATAAAAAGGATGATATGTATCAGAATTAGTAAGTAGAAAGGAAGATACTGATATTAAAATATGACTACTATACAAAGAATTTAAGAGGTAAAGTTACTCTGAAGTCTAGAGCAAAATATCACTCACAATAATTATACAGAGGATTGTTATATAAATAGTTTTAATAACGTGAGGACTGCCAGGCATTGTGGGACATGCCTGTTTTCTCAGCAGTTCAGCAGGCTGAGACAGGAGGATCACAAGTTCAAAGTCAGCCTCAGCAACTTAGTGGGGTCCTACACAACTTAGTGAGACACTAGCTCAAAATAAAGAATAATTTTAAAGACTGCTCAGCAATTAAGCATCCCTGGGTTCAATCCTCAGTATAAAAAAAAAAATAATAGTGATGATGATGATATGACTAAGAGATGGAAAAATACCTGACTAGAGGGAAATGGGAAGCCTCACCGTTCTACAAAATCAACATAAAAGCCGCTATCCCCAAAACAGAACACGGGCAAGTCATTCTAAAATACACAGTATTTAAGCAAGCATTTTACCTTATACATTTCAATAGCTCTTGGTCTTTTAAAAATAAATCCATAGAGCAATGGTAACACCACCATTTGGTGATTTCTTTTTTTTTTTTTTTTGAATCTTGTATTTAGTCACAAGTCAAAATTCTTTTATGATGTAAGAGAATTGGAATGCTATTTATGCATCACAATGTAATAATTACATAGTCTAGAGTGAATCTTCCTCCTCTCCAGGAAAAAAAGATCTTGCCTGGAGATGAAGAGGACAAAAAGCTCACAAAGAAATTTTTTTGAAAGGATTTGCCAAGGTCAGGAAGGATTGTTTCTGACAGCTTTTAGCAGTCATCATTATACATGCTGCAGGGCTAAGTTTCAATTATCATCTTTCCATCTGTTTAATATCAGAAGTAAAGAATACCAGGTGCCTTCTAGAAAAGTAGCCAATGATTCAACTATTAATTGTAAGGAATATGTAGACTATTTCATCTACAAAGATTAAAGGAAGGAAAAAGAACAGATTGCTTTATGTGATTATTTTTTTCAAGCATACATAGTAGTAAAACAATGTTCTTTTGTTACTTGTGAAATGCATAGTACTTAGCGCAGGGAAATATGAAGCAAGACTCTATGTAAGTTAATAGATATATAGAAAGAACAGCCACCAGACTAAAGTGAGGAGACAAAAACTAAGGGAAAAGACTTCCAAGAACTCCAAAGTAGGTCTTAATATTTTTTTTTTCTATTCAGTACTCATGGAAGGAGAGAAATTATAAATGGCTGTGAAGAAACAGTGAACAGATGGCACTGAAAAGTCACCATCTGTGCACCAGGAGGCTGCATGACCCAAGTGCATCTCCTACCTTACCTTGTGGCTAAACTGTGTCTTGTCAATATACTGGTTTGGAAAAGGGTATGCTCCTTCTAAAGATAAACTGTCATTAATATTTCTTCAGATTTAAGAGAGAAGTCAGGGAGAAAACTGTCATTGCTAGATAATTTGATCTCACTGAGAAATAAGAATTCAATTCCCTTAAGAACTCACTAAACAGAAAAACTATGCTTTATCTATAAAAACAGCTTATAAATAATCTAATGAGTCTGTGTATGTGTGTATGTGTGCATGTCTGCATCTAGTAATGACAGTCCATAACATTTAGCAACAGTATTGGAAAGTGATGACAGAAAGGAGGAGGATGACAACAGGAAAGCAATTTGTTCTTTTTAACATTGTGAAATGCTATTGTAGAAGTGTTGATGTGTGAGGCTAGAATCTGAAGCATCATCTGTCTCATCTGTGATAACTGCAATCAAGTTTTATGTGGCAATTCATTTGTTATAAACGAGTCTAATTTATATTATTACTCAAGAGAAAATATTTAACAGAAGAAACTATAAATTCTAAGTAAATACAGATTTTTAGATAAACTGATATAATTTGATTCATGTATACATATACAAAATTTCTATGTGTATGTAACATCTTTCTAGGAAAACTGTTTATGCCATCAATAAAATTTTTAAGGAGTCTGTTATCCAACAAAGTATAAACTGTTACATTCCAAGGGACCCAGGGAAATATAAAAAGTGTGTACTGGGGAGAGGGAAGAAGAATGGAGCAAAGAAATTCTTTTTGATAATTTCAAAATTCCTAACTGAAGATTAAACTTCTATCAGTTCTCTTCTTCCCTGCTCTAAATTCCTAATCACATTTATATTGGTCCTCCAAAGAACAAAAGAAAAAGGTATAATTCTCACATATTATTATTTTTCTAATACAAAGTAGATATTTGCCATAGTATCTTTTTTTATCATAAAATACTAAGGTTAATAGGAATCACATTAGCTTCATACTATTCTTTCTTCTTTAGTTTAATAATGTTTTTGTTTAGGCATATAAATATAATAAATTGAGAAAAAAGTTTGGATGCATTCAAACAAATGTTGAGGCAAAATGGAAGACAGTGAAGAGGAATTCTAAGCCATGGCAGCACAAAGACCTGGCATTAAAGGCAGGCTCTACTAATTTACTGCCTATATAAGCTGATCACTGTATTGATTTTCCATTTTCTCAACTATAAAATGGGAACAATATCTGCTTCATGAGTCCATGAGTATTAAGTGAGTTAACATATTTATAATGTCTTTAATAAACATTCACAGTCTTCTTCAACCCTTCTATTGTAAGAGGTTGCAAAGTAGTCTAAAAAGAGGAAGGAATTTGGAACCAGACTGGGTTCACATGATACACACACACACACACACACACACACACACACACACACGTATGTGAATGTGGGGCTGCAGGAGGGGGTGGGGAACAGACAGACAAAAGTGGAGCTAAGAAAGTTTCTCTTCAGATGTCCAACAGTAAAGGCTATATTTTTGTATTTTGATTATTTAACAGGAGGCCATTACCCTCCAAAAATCTTAGAAATTAAAAATCTCCAAAAGATCAAAATGCTTTATTTCAGAAGAAAAGTTGAGTTTATACAGATTTTCAGCAAACTGATTAAAGCTGATAATTATGTATTAGTCTCAACACATTAAAAAAAAAAATCCTGCTCATCTTCTATTAATAGGAAGGGCCCTTTGTTTTAATTACAATATTTTGAATTAGTCCATTCTCTGACAAAAGACATCCATTTTACAACTTAAAATAAACAAAGCTAAACAAAATGTCACTTGTGCCTAAGAGAATTCTGTAAGTGTCCTGGTGGCCTAAATTAGCCCAAGTCATATTAGCCTGATGAGGTGGGGGAAGTGGGGGACAAAGCCAAACCAGAAAGCTTTTTACTATTGAATGCAACTACACTATATACAAGGTCTTGTGCTACACACAATTCTTCTTATTCCTATTTTGAAGATTAAAAGAATAACCAGCAGAGGAAAATTTCAGATCCAGGTTTATTTAAATCCAGGGCCAACAATCTTACCACTAAACTGTATTTCTCATTAAAACAACAAATAAATAGAAATAAAAATGCTTCACTTTTTGGGGAATTTGAAATAAAAGAAGCTTTCCTTCTTTCTGAAAGCAAGAGGAAAAGAAACTCTTTTGGTATAAATACTAAAATGTTAATCTATATGTAGCCAAATGGTGGTATATAAGTGATAAAAGGATGTTCCAAACATATGAACATGTATCTGAAAAAGATGAAAATATCAGCAATTTATTTTCCTATTATTTATCTTCAAGCTAATAATTTCAAAACCATGCAGCTACATAAATAGATAGATAAACAAACAAACAAATAAATAAATAAATAAATGTAATTTTAATTGGTCCTCTGCTTTTTATATCTCCAAATAGATGTAGCCTTGGGGAATTAGATTCAAAGTTCAGACACAAAGGAAAAACTACAAACTGAGAAGTACACTAGAATACTCATATTCAAATGATGTAATCTAACTATATATTTAATAAAACTGAATACCATATCACAGACACTAAGACACTGAATTTGAAAATGAGAAACAAGTATTCTACAAAATGTGCTGGGCACAGTTGCTCTCATAACTTCACAGAGGATCTGAATAAAATTTATGTATCGTATAAAATACCTATAAAAAATGTCAAGAACAGAACTAACATCTGTAGAATAGAATGATCATAATATACTAAATTTTTTCTTCCTCGTTAAAGTTTATATTTAGGCGGCATGACTTACCTTTAACTTTGATGAATGACATTATAACATAATTCAATATTAATAATTTTACAACACTAAGTTATCAACTGTGAGTCAAACATTTTATTACATGATTTTTCTGTATATTTAAGACTTCCCTCACTAGTAACAGATGCGTTGCTTTTAATGGTCACATGATACAGTAATTTAAGTTTTCCACTTACCCCAGAAAGTTATTCTCTTACTCAGGATGCTGGGAAAAGATTTTCTATTATATAAATAGTGAGCAAATTAAACATTATTTAAATTCAAATATTGATCACATATAGAACTTATCTAATTTTCTCAGAAAAACTCTTAAAAGATTGAAATGTCTAGATTTTAAAAATGAATTTTGAGCACTCACCGATTGCATGCTTACTCCAACTTGTTGAAAAACCATCCTCATCAGGCGCTTAATCCAGCCAAGCATTTAGATGGTAAAGTTGTCCCAAATTTGCATTTCAAGTACTTCAGGCATACATTGCAGTACATTGTCCATTAAAGCACACTGAAAATTTTAAACGCAGATACTGAAATGAATTGTTATTATTCAGAATCTCTACTGTGTACAACTTGTCTTACAAAGTAAGCCTAAGACATTTTAAAACTTGTAGCAGCAAAATTAGTTCTAGGAAAACATACTACACCTGTTACTGCCACCACTGACAGAATAGTCAATATAGTTCCTCCTTTTCTGTGTCACCAGATACTGTGGCATCTGCTTAGCCAAGTCTAAAGCTCATGTATCCTAACAAAAAGGAGGCTAGAAAAGCAAGTACCTGCAATAACAAACAGGTTTTTCTTGCCACCAAAAAATTAGGAAGAAAGGAATTCCAGGAACAGGATTCCAATGCAACATGGTCAAAAATGACAAAAGTCCTTTTATACTCACTAGCACCTTCAACTCACCACCCCTATGCCCTATTATACACTACAGAGATCTCAAATATTAACTTGCATCATGTAATTTCAAAATATTAGTTTACAAATGAGATGGCGTTTAAACAGAATATAAATCAATGCAGTGCTGCCTCATTAAAAAAAATGTTGCATTAAAACAAAAACAAAAACCAGAAAAACAAAACTGAACAGAGCAATGTTTTTGAGATAGTTAATTTACATTTTAATGTAAATGCTCCTTATCTCATCATGGACCAACAGCAGTTTGTGGTCTATACTTTGAGAACTTTATAATTACAGAGAATGGGAGAAAAAAGTAAAGTGCCACAAATATGCCAGCAATGGATGCAAATTAACTGAAAAGAGGAGCCATACCCTAAATGACAGAAGAGTGGAAAAGAAAATGAGCACTATGGGCAAAAATGAACAGCAATGGGGAAGGCAGGAAAACAAGAATGAGTACAGGATGCATGTTTATATGAGAACTTGAGCTAAGAGCCTATACTGGAGAAAAAGGAAAAAGAAACAAAGATCAGATTAAATAAATCTTGAAACTACAAAGTAGAGTTTGACTCAATATGTAAGTTTAAAAAGTTTGTTAAATATGGCAAAATTTAAATTAAACTTGATTCTTTGAAAAATCATAAAAAGAAATAGTACAAACATTTTACTGGAAGGTACTAAATTATCATTTATAGAGGGGCAAAGGTAGGAGTCAAACTAGAAATTTAGATCAAAATTTAGATTTTTATCTACTACACCATACTATTCCCTACAGGGAAAAATAGTTTGAGGAAATTATTTGAAATTTTGAGTGTTTTCTGTTTCGATGTTGTCATACATGATCCTACTCAACTTTCAATATGTTTATATACTTAAAGTAATGATATAAAATAGTTAAGTATTAAAAGGTTCAGTGGCACATGCCTATAATCCCACTGATATGGCAGGCTGAGGCCAGAGGATCACAAGTTTAAGGCCAGTCTCAGCAACTTAGTGAGACCCTGTCCCAGAGTAACGAATAAAAAGAACTGGGAGTGTAGCTCAGTGGTAGAGCACCCTTGGGTTCATTTCCCAATACCAAAAAAAAAAAAAAAAATGTGTGAAGTGTTAAGGCTTTGAGCTAGAGCCTATACTCTAGAGCATATACCCTTATATCACCTACCAATTGGTGACTATGAAGAAAATAATTACCTTCACACTGACAGAATTAGTAAGAGACATTTTAATGTCACCAAGATCTATTACTGAATAAATGAATCACATCTCTTGAGAGTCAATGAAAATGAATGAAATGAAAAGAGGAAAGAGTCAAAAATGACATAAAAAATAGAAATGGTTGGCCAAAAACTAGGCAAGGTCAAAGAATGATTTTAAGTGAGGGTGAAACCCTCCTATTTTGTTGTCTCCATAGTTTTACTTTTACCAGAATGTCATATAGTTGGAATCTCAATAGTATATAGCCTTTTCAGATTGGTTTCTTTTACTGAGTAAGGTGTATTTGAAGGTCCCTGCGTGTCTTTTTGTGTTTTCATAGTTCACTTCCTTTTACTGTTGAATAGTACTTCATTATCTGCATATACCACAGTTTATTCACTCATCTGCCAATAGGCATCTTGTTTGCTTCTGAGTTTTTGACAATTATAAATAAAAATGCTATAAATATCTATGTACAAATTTTGCTTGTTTTATTAAATGAGTATTGCATTAGGGTTCTTTAGAGAATCAGAAACAACAGCATATATACATTTTTTTAAGTTTTTAAAAGTTGTAGACGGACACAATACCTTTATATTTTGTTTAATTTGTTTATGTGGCTCTGGGGATCGAACCCAGTGCCTCACACATGCTAGGCAAGCGCTCTACCACTGAGCCACAATCCCAGTACCAACAGAACATATATTGATACCTACAAAGAGATTTATTTTGAGATTGGATCACTCAATTATGGAAGCTGGGAAATCCCATAATATGCCATGTGCAAGTTTGAGGGACAAGTCTGCTCATGGTATTATCCCACTCTGAATCTGAAGGCCTTTTCAAGGATCTTTTCTTCCCCCTATATCATATCCTAACAATTTTTCCTACATTTTATTGGTGCACTATAGCTGTGCATATTGATGGAATTTGCTGTTACATATTCATACATGCACACAATACATGGCGCCTCAGCAACTAAGGCTGGTCCTTTTCCTCTACAGATCTACAAGGGACTTCTTTAAGGCAAGAGATGGATGTTCCCACTAAAGCAATGAGCAAATCTGCTCCTCCTTTGCCTTTTTGTTCTATTAAAGCCCTCAAGGGATTTTATGACACCCCTTAGTAAATAGATTCAAATACAAATCTTTTCCAGAACACGCTCACAAACACACCCAGAAATAATGTTTTACCAGCAATTTCTGCATACCTTAGCTGAAGCTAGCTGTCACATAAAATGAACTATTCACAGATAGTTCTTTTTTAAAAAATTATTATTTGCCAGAAAGAAATGTAATACCTAAAATCTAGGCTAGAGATTAAGGTTAGGGATCACTTGTTTAGAAAAATAAGATGAAAGGAATTAATTCACAAGGACAGAGAAGCCAGTAGAAAGCTTAGGAAATACTGTAGAACAAACAGAAAAAATAAAAAGCACTGAGAAAAAGAATCAGTAGAAAAATTAGAGTTGTACTGTCACTAAAAGAAAAAAAAAGAAATTCAAGAAAGTTAATGATCTTGTTAAACACAGAAGGGAAGTCATTTTGGTGGACTCTTATTGCCACCCTTTCCACCCTCTCCACTGTGCTCTCTGGAACCCAATTTGGAGGTAAACACCTCCCCCCCAACTCCACATCATCAACATATTCACTCACCACTGAGCACTCCTGGCCCACTTCCTTTAACTGAAACTTGGCTTGCCTTTGGAATACTGCCTCTCCTAAGCTACAGCCTTCTCAAAAGGGTTTCTGCTTGTATTCCCTTAAACTTTATGTCAAGATTATTTGTCATCAATTATTTGCCTCCCATCTTTTAATAATCCCTTCCTCAAAGGCAGGGATTAAATTTAAGGGAGAGAAATTAAAGAGAGAGAAAACAGGTCCATGGTTAGTCACTCATGGCTGCCAGTGGAGGGATAGTTTGATAAACGAAGCATATGGGCATTTTCAGAAATGAAGCCAGTCTTGTCTTTACTTTGAGTGGGATAGTAACTACATGGCTGTGTTCATCATAGAAATGTTCATCAAAACCAGTGAATTTTGTTGTATGCAATTTATACCTCCATGGGGGAAAAAAACAAAATTTTCCTTTGAGATGATGCTTTAATACCAAGTTCCCTTCATTGTGGATGTTACTTAAGAGTGCTTTGTCTTTCATCATCATTCAGCTAAGATTTTTGTTGAACCTTCACTCCAAGTCCTTCCCTAAAAGGAATTCTGCACTTTGACTTGATTAGCACTAGTAAATCAATAAATATATCTTATATTCTTGTCAGTGCTGGGTGATTTTGGTATTCATACAGCTGATATATCAAGCAGAGTAGTATAAAAGCCCATTTTTAGAAAGCTATAAAACAGTCAAAGCTAAAACTAAGCTAATCATAGATTAAGGTTGCTGTCTTTATGTTTTATTATATTTGGAGACAGAAGTTTTGACTGACAAAAGGCATGAAAGGAACTTCTGGGATGCTGGCAATGTTCTTTTATTTATTTATTTTTTGATGATGCTGGGAATTGAACCCAGGGCCTTCTGCATCCAAAGCAAGTACCCTACCAACTGAGCTATATCCTGAGCCCAATGTTCTGTTTCTTGTTAGAGATGCTCAAATATGTTGACTTTGTGAAAACTTTTACCAAGATACACATTTACATATTTTTCATGACTCTAAGTTATGTTTCAAATAAAAATTTTAAAATCACAAAAAAGCCTTTGGCTAAGTTATATAACTTTGATAAATTTCTCATAGAAATAAAAATATTAATACCTAAATACATACATATAATTTCTGCAGTGCTTTTTATATTCATGAAATTGGAATTTAAATGCATATCAATAAAATAATGTTAACTAAATTATGGTATATTATAAAATATTATGCAACTATTTAAAGAAAATTATAGTCTAAGTACTGATATGAAAGTATATCCCTGATATTTAAGAGTAACATGAAAAATGTAATTTCATTTTTACAAAACAAAAATCTTCAACCTTTTATGTGTTGTAGGTGGTGCTGGAGATGGAACCCAGGGCATCTTACCATGGGCCTTCATTGCTGCCCAGCATTCTAGGAAAGTTTTATTTTCTTACTTTTCCCCTTTTTGTATTTTCTAGAGGAATTATTTCAGGTTATCTCCAGGTAACCTGCTGTGGCTTAATGTGTCATCCCCAAAGTTCCTGTGTTTGAAACCTAATCCCAAAGCAATAATGTTGGGAGATGTGGCCTTTAGAAGTGATTAGGTCATGAAGGTTCTGCCCATGTAAATGGACTAACGTCAATAATATGGGATTGCCGTAGTGGGTTTCTGACATAAAGGACAAATTAAGCCCCCTCTTGAGCTCTCTTCCCTTATGTGCTATCTTGCTCCTTCACCTTTCAACAGATGCAGCATGAAGGCCTTTGCTAGATG